ATTTTCAGCAATATCGTCATCATCCTCGGGACGCCGTCATCGTCATGATTATCGCATCATCATCATCGACATTATCATCAACAACATCATCATCATTGGGGCACCATCATCATGAGCAACATTCTATCCAACATCGTCATTATTATCCTCATCATCATCGGGACACCATCAGCATCACCATCATCATCACCATCATCATCATCAGCATCATCATCGGGACACCATAATCATCAACATCATCATCATCATCAACATCATTATCGCCGGGACACCATTTCCATCAACATCATCATCACCAACATCATCGGAATCATCATCATCATCGGGACACCATCATCGTCATCAGCATCAACATAATCATCATGAGCATCATCATCCTCATCATCGGGACACTATCATCATCATCATCATCATCGACACCATCATCAACATCATCATCATCATCTTCATCGGGACACCATCATCATCATCACCTCATAATCATCATCATCATCATCATCATCATCATCATCATCATCATCATCATCATCATCATCATCATCATCTCATCATCATCATCCTCGCGGGACACTGGCGGGACACCGCGGGACACCGCGGGACACCGCGGGACACCGCGGGACACCGGCGGGACACCGCGGGGCCCCGCGCCCCGGATGAGAAACATTTGGTCCGGCCGCGCCTCAGCCACAGGAGGACACCGCGGGACACCGGCGGGACACCGCGGGGCCCCGCGCCCGGAAGAGAAACATTTGGTCCGGCCGCGCCTCAGCCACAGGAGACTTTTTCTCGCCCGCCCACGCAGCTTCGCCTCGCACGCACGGCACGCACGAGCACGAAATCGAAACCGACTTCCCGGTAGGGGGCTCGCCGTTCCACTTCGATCTCACCCCCTCACCTCCGATAGCCCTATAGCCCAATAGCCCAATAGCCCCATAGCCCCATAGCCCCATAGCCCTATAGCTCTATAGCCCTATAGCCCTATAGCCCTCTAGCCCTATAGCCCTATAGCCCTATGGTCCTAAAGCCCTATAGCCGTATATAGCCCTATAGCCCGAAAGCCCGAATAGCCTTATAGCCCTATAGCCCTATAGCCCTGTAGCCCTATAGCCCCATAGCCCTAAAGGCTTCTAGCCCTATATCCCTATGGCCACATCGCCCTATAGCACTATAGCCCCATAGCCCTAAAGCCCCATAGCCCCCCCAAAAAATTCTGATTGGGGTTTTTCTCTGGTATCATTTATACATTGTTTTGCCGATCGGCGCGGGCCCTCGCACCCCCCATCCCTACCCCCCCCCATGGAGTAGATCTTGGCTGTTGTTTGGTGCCTGTTTCGAGCGGGTGGAGCCTCCTCCAAAATGGACGCACTGTTGCAAACAGGCGCACGAAGCAGAGGTCCGGAGCCGGAACCCACCTCCATCCCCCTAAACGCCGAACGAAAAACGCTCACTTTGCATAGGAGCGAGGGCATGTTGCGAAACAAATGTCAGGGTACATGCATCTTGTTTGTGGAGAAGAACTTGTGACGTCAACTCCCGCATAATCTATGGATGCTACCTCCGAGGTTCTTCATGAGCAATGCCACCCTGGTCATCACACCTCCAAACCTCTTCGAGCAGTGGCTCGGCGAGTTCAAGAAGTTCATGGCCCCTGAGGCGTTCGAGAAGTGCAGGATCATAGAGATCCCGCACATACACCGCCTTAACAAGCTGTCCGTCGAGGAGATCAGCACAAGGGTTTAAAAGAAGCGATACTGACGCACCCGAAACAAACGCATCGGCACCAACTGAATTAGCACTGACAACCGACATGTAGAGACTCGGGGGCTGTTCGTCAATGGGGGGGCAAACGTGAGAGCAGGGCTGGACGTAAGCGCTGCTTTGCTGGACTTCGGCGGTGTTTCGTTTTTCGCTTTGGGAGGGAAGCACAGGAACACAGGTCGAGCAAAACGAAAAACAACACGAACTCAGAACGAACAGCAGCGTGTAAGTCCAGCCCTGCTCGGGAGCGAGGGAAAGTTTCTCTTTCATCACCGTTCGGGCCCGCGGTGGCAGTCCAGGGGCCGTTCAGGGCCCTCTCGCAGGGCCGCTGTCCTGCAGTCCTCGGTCCCCTCACGCTTGCTGTCCCCCCGTTGCCGTCCGCCCGAGAGGCTTTTGGGAGGAAAGCGCAAACCAATGGAACGGCAACAACAAGAACAACACTTGTTTTAAGATTGTTCGCTCTTATCTGCTCGAGCGTCATCCAACGTGAATGTCCCAAAACCTCGATACCCGCCCTCTTCGTTTTCGATCGGGCCCCCTTTGGGGTGTATATCTTTCTTCCATGCAGGCTGGGTCCCGGCAAGCGACGGGGCGGCCGCGGACCGTCGGCCTGACCAGCGGCGGCGCTGACAGGCGGCAGCCTGGTAATGCGGGGCCACAGAAGGGCAACGACGGGGCCACTAAGGGTGGCAACGGGGCTACATAGGGCAGCGAGGGGGCCACAAAGGGCGACAGCGGGGCCACGACGGGCACGAACGAGCGGGGGCCACGACTGGCATGCGTATATTGGGCCGCAGAAGGCAAAAAAGGTGCCACTGACGGCAGCGAGGGGACCACGAAGGGCAGCGCGGGGGCCACGGAGGGCGACAGCGGGACCACGAAAGACATGCATATGGAGCCACAACGGGCGCAATCGAGCGGGGGCCACGAAACACATACATACATCGGGCCACGACGGGTAGCGAGGGGGTCACGAAGGGCTGCAACGGGGCCGCGAAGGGCAGCGAGGGGGCCGCGAAGGGCTGCAACGGGGCCACGAAGGGCAGCGAGAGACCCACGAAGGGCTGCAACGGGGCCACAAAAGGCAGCGAGGGACTCACGAAGGGCTGCACCAGGGCCACGAAGGGCAGAAGGGCAGCAAAGGGGTCACGAAGGGCTGCAACGGGGCCGCGAAGGGCAGCGAGGGGGCCGCGAAGGGCTGCAACGGTGCCACGAAGGGCAGCGAGAGGCCCACGAAGGGCTGCAACGGGGCCACAAAAGGCAGCGAGGGACCCACGAAGGGCTGCACCAGGGCCACGAAGGGCAGAAGGGCAGCGAGGGGGCCACGAAGGGCTGCAACGGGGCCGCGAAGGGCAGCGAGGGGGCCGCGAAGGGCTGCAACGGGGCAGGGCAGCGAGAGGCCCACGAAGGGCTGCAACGGGGCCACAAAAGGCAGCGAGGGACCCACGAAGGGCTGCACCAGGGCCACGAAGGGCAGAAGGGCAGCAAAGGGGTCACAAAGGGCTGCAACGGGGCCGCGAAGGGCAGCGAGGGGGCCGCGAAGGGCTGCAACGGGGCCACGAAGGGCAGCGTGAGGCCCACGAAGGGCTGCAACGGGGCCACAAAAGGCAGCGAGGGACCCACGAAGGGCTGCACCAGGGCCACGAAGGGCAGCGAGATCCCGATCCCTACGTAGGTGGTGAGGGAGTCTCAAGCGTGAGCGCGCCTCCTGGGTGCGTGAGTGTCGGGGGCGCGGCGCTTGAGTAAATTGCTGAATTCCAGCGCAAGAGCGCGATGCTTGAGTAAATTGCAAGCGAGTCTCCAACGAGAGCGCGATTCCAGAGCGCCGAGAGAGCTAGCTATTCTTATCATTTGCAAGGGGATCGTTGCACAATGTGTAAGGAAATCCCAAAAGGGGAGCGCGATTCCTGAGCAAAATGCGAGGAAGTCTCAGGCGGGAGCGGGGAAGTCTTAAGCGGGAGCCGTTGTTGCTGTAATCCGGGGGCCGGCAACCCAGTTTGAGCCTAGTGCCGTTCTCTGGTAAGAAAAAGGTGCGAGCCCCGGGAGAAGCATTTCAACAGGAAAAACACACAGTCACCGGAGGTGGGGGATCAACAATAATACAATAATTATTCTTCAGTAGTGAGGGATCAGCAACCACAGCAACAAACCACTGAGGACTTCGCGAATGCGGATGTGGTCATCGTGCCGTACCGGTTCTTTTTCTCGGGGGTGTACGACCGCTACTTGGACGAGACTATCGGGCGCGCGGCACCGCCAAGTCATGCAATCGGATGGTGTCGGAGATAGGGGGGGTGTTTTTGAGTGGGCGGAACGTCAGGAGAGGGAGGGAGACGAGGAGGAGGAAGAGGAGGAGGAGGAGGAGGAGGAAGAGGGGGAGGAGTAGGAGGCGGAGGGGCTGATGATGAAGAGCGGGGGGGAGCACGACTTGTTCGCAACCGATCTTCCCACCAGGAGGGCGGAAGTATGAGGATGAGGTCGAGAAAGAGGAGTTGGGCGGAGGGATGACGAGGAGGAGGAGGAGGTCAAAGTGGACGGAAGGGAGGGCGGCGGCGGACTGAGGATATGGCATATGTCGCTGAGACGGCTGTGACAGATCGCTCTGGGCCGTTGCCCCGAGCAAGAATACGGCCTGATCGACATCCCCTGTGGATCGGCTCGTGCAGGGCCGCTCCCCCCCTCCTTCGAGTGGCACTGCTGAGGCCACGCAGGAGCGAGGAGGAGGAAGCAGTACGGGGAGGAGACAGCAGGACCCCCTTCTTCGTTTCTTCCCGACAACCCCGCCCTGCCTGTGCTGGCAGGCTGGGGGCGCGGGGGGCACGGTGCTGCGGCATCCCATGGGCCTTGCGGCGTGCTGATGGACCGCATCTGACGGTGAGGACGCGCGGCCTTGAGCCAGGTTGCGGGTCCCGCATCTTGACCCACAGCTCCGACGCCGCAATCGGTTGTTATTTCTTTCAAATTCCCCACACTGGGCTTGCACCTCAGGGATTTCGTTTTTTATGCTACAGGATGGGTGTACCGAAGTTTCGCCTGGTGCCCAGTCGGTGGCCGCCTCGTGGCCGACCAGTGCGCTGGGTAGGTTTGCCGGAGTTGGGCCTCGTGCCCGATGGGCGGGCATTTGTGGCCAGCCGTGGCCGACTCGTGGCCGCACCGTGCGACGCGTGCACTGCACAGCTCGTACCACGGAGCTTGCATCACATAGCATGCACCACGCAGCCTGCATCACACAGCGCGCACCACGTAGCTCGCCCCCACGGGGCTTCGACACGCATATGCGCGCCAGGATGTGCACGGCGTCGTCCCCGGGTCGCTCGACAAGCACACCGTGTTCTCGAATCGGTGGATGGGTGCCTGCGAGGCTTGCGGGATGGGTGACAACAAAAAAAGAGAGGACAACAAATGCCTGACGAACGATCAACACGCACCCATACCCATAGGGGGGGCGGAATGAGCTATGAGTGCGTGTTGTCGGATGGGGGTCCCCGCTCGAACGGGAGCCTCCGCAGGGTTCCGACAACCCGCACCCACACCCACAGCCAGTCCTTCTCCTTCCGATCTCCTTATAGGTATGGGTGTGTGTTGTTCGTTCGTCAATGCCTGCGGTCGTGTCGCCCGGTGCCCGCCCGTGGGCGGCTTGCCCCGCGAGGGGGGGGCCTCCCGGGCGCGCTCGCCCAACGCGTTTGCCCGTGAGGGCGCCGGGAGAGCGGGCGCGTCGTGGCCGTGCCCGCGCGTGGGGGGGCCCCGTGGGGCGCACCGCGCACGGCCTGCACCACGCAGGGCTTGCACCACACCGCGTGCACCCCTGCTCGCTTTGTTGAAAAAATATCTTTTGTTCAGAAAGCATTGTTTGCTTAAACGCATGTGTTTGTGTGTTATTCCATAATTAGATATGTATGTCTATATACAAATATGTGTATGTGTATATATTTGTCTATATACACCCATATATATATATATATATATATATTGCAATTCTTGTTACGATATTGATACTAATATGTTCGCTGTGCGTTCCCTGGTCAACGGAGCGGTGGCGGCCCGCTGCTGCTTGCACTGGTCCCAGTGGGGGCTCCTTGGTGGGCTCCCGCAGGAGCCTGCAGAAGCGTGCGCCCTCTCGCACTGAGGCGGGGTGTGTGGCCAACGTGGAACCAGACACCCAAATAGCTTAGACCACAATCCTCTCACCACAAAAGGCCCTGCGCCACAAATCTTGCACTATTTGAAAAAACTTGCACCTCGTTGCTGGCACCGCGTGCTGTACGCCACGGCATCCTGCACCACATGGACTGCATAATTGTGAGTGTAAGAGCATCCTGTATGGGGCCCGCGCGGGCAAACGTTCGGCCTTCTGGGCTCGCCGTCGAGCCATGGGGCCACGAAGGAACAATTCAACATGCACCGCTAGCCTCCAGGAAGGCGGGCCGAGAGGTCTGGAGGCCCCCATGAGGGGGGGGAGGGGGAGGACAACCAAGAACAAAGCACGTCGGAGGTCCAGGGCGGCTTCGACCCAGGCTGCGGATCTGGCACCCTGAGGTGCCCCCGCGGGCCCGCGAACCATCGGACGGTTGTCCACCGCGCGCGGGGGTGGATGCCGTGGTCGGCGTGCCGGTGGAGCGCGCCGGGCTCGCTCAGATCTTGGGCCCCGAAGGGGCCAGGACGCCCTCGTGTTGTCCTTCGTGTTCCAGCCCTTCGAGCACCGTCGTCGTGCACCGCCGCCCGCGCTCATCGGCAAGCCTCTGCGCGGCCCCCCCGCCGGCCACCGTGCTTCCCCGCGCGGGGCCCCTGCGCGTTTGAGATACCTTGCCCCAGGCCTCACACGGGTCGATGCTTCGACACGTCCGTCCCGATACGATACGTATTGTGACAGCCAGGAAGAGGAGGAGGAGAAGGAGGAGGAGGAGGAGGAGGAGGAGGGGGAGGAGGAGGAGGAGGAGGAGGAGGAGGAGGAGGAGGGGGAGGACGAGCAGGACGAGAGAGGACCGTCGTGTGGTTGTGTGTGGGGCCTCCAGTGGCCTCCAACTCGACCTCCTGCCTCTGCAGCTGGATGAACGAGTGGATGGGCCACGGGGCCTTTTGGATGCCTCCCGCTGATCAGGAGGGGGGATGGGGAGGAAAGCGGAGGAGGAAGGCGAGGAGGGTGAGGAGGAGGAGGAGGACGACGAGGAGGAGGAGAAGGACGACGAGGAAAAAGACGAGGAGGAGGAGGAGGACGACGAGGAGGAGGACGAGGAGGAGGGATATTCTGAGAGGAGTGCGGCCCGCCAGGCGCACCGGCGGCCAGATGGACGACGGCCGCAAGCGGGGCCCTCGTCCCGCCTCGGCGGGGCAGCCCGCCTCCTCCTCGTGTTTTGCTTCTCCTCCTCTCCTCCTCCTCCTCCTCCTCCTCCTCCTCCTCCTCCTCCTCTTCCTATTCCTCCTCGTCTTCTCGACCTCCTCCCACTTCCTTCTCCCCCTCCTATTCTTCCTCCTCCTCCTCCTCCTCCTCCTCTTCCTCCTCCTCTTATTCCCCCTCCTCTCCTCCACCTCCTCCCACTTCCTTCTCCTCCTCCCCGTCCTCCGTCGATTGTTTCCTCCCTCGCCTCCTCCTTCTCCGCTTCCCCCTTGATGCGGGCCTTGTCAGCAACTGCTCGAGGCCCTCGACCACCCCCCAGCTGACCCAGCATTCCTAACTGATCCACTACGGAGTAGGGCAACGAGGGGGTATGATTCTGGAAGTGAGCCAACCCAGCCCGATAGGCGAGGGAGAACGGGGAGCAGGCGACACGAGCAGGACCAGCAGGATGACAGGAGAGAGGCAAGGAAACAGAGGGGGACGACGGAGGAGAGGCAGGACATTCGAAGAAAGAGAGAGAGAGAGAGCCAATAAAAAGATAGAGATCGAGAGAGAGAGAGAGAGAAAACAAAAAAAAGAGCCCCTTGTGCGGACCACCCACAACTCAGAGAGATCAACTTTAGTCGACTCGGTATCGCTGGTGAAGCCGGTCCCCTCAATGAGGGGTGGTGTCGACAATCGGGCTGTGAGCACACCGTGGGCCCCGTCTCTCCCCAGCCGGCCTGATCAAAAACAGCGGCGGCGAACGTCTCATACAAAGCTCAGCATGAAGGTTAAGGACGAGGACGAGGAGGAATTGGAGTCTCTCAGGGTTGGGCATCTATATATACATATATATACATACATACATACATCATATATGTACATATATGTAGACAGAGAGAGGGTGAGAAAGAGAGAGAGAGAGATAGAGAGAGAGCGAGAGGCCCATCCCGTGCGGATGGCGTCGAGAGTCCTCGTCGCAGGCGAGCTGGCGGTTGCCCAGCCAGATGGCCCAGAGCGCCATTTTCAGATTCGTTCCTCATCTTGATGAGGTCGAGGAGGAGGAGGAGGACGAGGATGTGGGAGGAGGCGGAGGAGGAGGAGGAGGAGGAGGAAGGAGGGCGGGGGAGGAGGAGGAGGAGGAGGAGGAGGAGGAGGAGGAGGAGGAGGAGGGAGGAGGAGGAGGAGCAGGAGGAGGGAGGACGAGGATGTATGCCAGATGGCAGGTGGGAGCCTATCATGCCCCACGTGGGCCATCGGACGGTGCAGCACCCTTGGTAGGGGTTTTGGCCGCTGGGCAAACATGCCCCTAGACTGGGATGGGTATTGATCAGCAGGGGAGGCAGGCAGGGGAACATGGAAGGACAAGTTACGGACACGGGTGCATGAACATGATCATTAAGACATGGGAACATGAAGATGAAGTGGACCGATCCAGACTCAACACCATCGGGGCCTCTGACCAGACTCCGAGACCTTTTGATGCATCGCCAGTAGGGAGGTTCTGCCCAGCCGATACGCATCCCGTGTTGGTGGAGGGGGAAGAAGTGAGACAAGCGGGTTGGGTAAACCTGCTGATGCTACCGTCATCAGGACAGCAGCTCTTACCATCCATACGACCATGGTTATGACGACTGCCTTTTCCCCCCTCGTTCGCACAAGTGGCAGGCGGTTGAAAAACATTAGAGAGCTGTTGCAGGAGCCATGTCTCACGTTTGAGGGTACAGTGGAGGGTTACGCTGTCTTGTTGACTTGGCCCATCCTCCACCCGTCGATGTGCATGAAGGCCCAGATGCAGAACGCCGAACGAAAGCTTGTCGCGCCCATGAGCATGCAACGTATGTATAGGCACTGCTCCCACGTTATTGCGGGCAACATTGTAGGCATTGGTCTAGAAGGTCTAGGTAGCAGGCACATCCATATGAGGATCCTCGTCATCAGCGGTGGACGTGTAATGATCTGAATAAGAGTTCACTCATATGCCACTGCCGTTGATGGTGTCGAGGGCAAAGGTGGCAGCCTTCCCTTCCGCTTTCGGCACCTTTTTGCGGGAGCAGTGGGTGACCATGCAATTGTTGACGTTTGCCGTCGCCACATTGTCGCAGGGTGTTGACTGCTCCGTCTCACTCGAAGGCTTCTTCGATAAGGTCTTGCGCTTGCCCACGATGGCCTGGAGCCAACCGTGCTCCGCCCGACTGGTTTCCGATGCACTCGACGGAGCCTATGCCACTGATGTCGGAGACGTGTCACGGCGAAGTGGTTTGCCGTTTGGGTTTTCATCTTTCTTTCGCTCATTAGCCTCCAAACAAATCGCCATGTGGTCGCCAAGCGATGCCTTCATCGTTGGAGCCAAGTGCTTGCCGTGCTGCTTCAAGCGTAGCTCCAGCACTCTGTCCTTCGTGACATTCAGGAATGCCTGGTACGCTGGATCCTTCTGGCCAAACTCTGCATCATCTTGATGATGTCATGGGATGCCAACCTCGATCGCCAACGCCCCTGTCGTGGTCATCACGGTCTTGCCCACGATCGCCGCCTCCACGTCTGTCACGGTCGTCGTTGTAGTCACGATCACGGTCAAAGTGCGCTGGTTTGTGGTTGCGGTTCGCAGTACCACTCCTCGTAGTGGTTCGGATCTCCTAACGGTCCCCACCACGGGAGTTCCAGGAAGTGCGACGGTTGTTTGCGCACATGGTATTGTCCGCTAGGGGTGATGCCCCTCAGCATCCCAGGCCCGCTGGAACCTTTTGAACGGCCACAGGCTATGGCATGCATATGCATGGGTGGCCGCACAGATGAGGCCCTGCTGGTATGCGATGGGGAAGTGCTGCAGAGGCAACTCCAAACGCCAGGCAACTACTGTGTAGGTGGGGAGCTCCAGGTATCGGGATTTGGCCAGGCGACTAGAGCAGAGGGAAACAATCATGTTGATCCCGCGGGGTGCTTGTCCAGGTCAGGGTCGCATGTTTGTTATTGGTCTGGGGCTCACGGAGTCCTTGTGGAGCCAGACGCGGTTCGCGTTCTGAAAGGCAATGCGCACACCATTCGTTGACGGTCACAACTGGAGGTTTAGCCAGAGGCATGGCGAGCCAGGATATTCCAAGGCATGTGCCGTTGGTAGGTTGACCTGATACGCGCTAATGACGTAGAGGTAGACACACGCTCTGCCGTAAACGTAGCTAGTACCTGGGATGCCGTCCACATGTCAAGGTTGTCGGACTTCGATGGTACCTGACGGCGCTGTTGCTGCTGGTGATGATGATACTGATGTTTATGATGTTGTTGCTGATGATGATGATGATGATGATGATGATGACGACGATGATGATGGTGGTGGTGGTTGCGATGATCGCCCGTGCATGTCGAATATACCACGCGAGTGTGCCTAGCATGTTGGTCGGAATCGTTTGTATGACAATTGGGCTGCTTGGGAGATGTTTGGATGCCATAACTCCCCAGGAATTCGGAGATCATGCGACACCAGACAGCTTCTGCCAGTAATTGATGGGGGGAAGGCGGCACGGGTCCACCTGAACATACCTCCGCGAGATCAGTTGGAAGCCAGTATGGTACTTGATGGCGATCTGCGAATACTGCATTGAAGGCGTAGAAGAAAAATATGCTCAGGCTCTGCGCGGGCTCTGAATGAAATGTCCACAAGGAACTGGTGTGTGCTCGTGCCCCCGCTACCCCGTGAGGCCGCGCTGGAACGAGTTCCGAGGGAGTCCATTGTGCAAACCATTGCCGAGAGAGATCAACTTTAGTCTATTCGGCATCGCTGGCGAATATGGTCTCCTCAGTGAGGGGAGGTGTCGAGAAGCGGGCTGTGACAAACGGTAGGCCCGCCTTCCCGACCCGCCCGACAGGATCTGCCCGCCCGATCTGCCTGCCTGGTTCTGTCTGCCACGTGTTTACCACCGTCCTGCTAATTTCTCGCCCCTCCTGCTAAGTTCTCGCCCCCTCCTGCCCAAGTTCTCACCCGCCCCCTTCTGCCCGCTTCATCTGCCTGTCCTCGCCCCCTCCTGCTAATTTCTCCTCCTCCTTCCATCCGTCCTCTCTTCTCCTGTTGTAGGGGCTGCGCTAAATTCACGTGGCAGGTGAGGAAGATATCCCCCAAGGGTGTACGATCGAAGACCACGAGGGCGGGTAGGGTACCGAGAGTTTGAGAGATACGTGTTGGATGGCACGCGAGCAGGTAAGAGCGAACAGTCTTACATTGATTACGGTTGTTGCTGTTGTAGATCAAGGTCCGCCAACACAATCTGAGGCTCAATAGCTTACATTGTGCAGAACAGGGTGCGAGCACCGGGAAAGGCACGTCAATTGAAAACCACAATGGGCACCCGAGGGGGTGACCAACAATAACAAGTCATTATAAATGAGAAGTCTGCACCGACTACAGTCATGCTTAGACTCTTCGCTCTTACGCTCTCGCGTGTCATTCATCACATGTATATCCCACACCATCGGTACCCACCCTCTTCGCCTTCGATCGCACCCCCCAGGGGGGGGGGGCGGGACATCTTCCTTCCGCGTGCAGTTGGCGCAGACCCGAAAACAGGGAAGGGGAGGGAGGAAGGAAGGGACAACGTGGAGAGAGGAGGATGGCCCGCGACAGAGATCAGCAGGAGGGGAGTTAGGAGCGGAAAACGGCCCTGGCAGAACCAGACGGACGGGTCGGGCGGGCGGACCCGAACGGGCGGGCGGGCGGGCCCTGACACGGCCAGGTCGGGCGGACGGGTCGCTGGCGCGTCGGCCATGCGTGAATCGCGAGGAAATGTCCAACGATAGCGCCATTCCCGCGCAAACCGCGAGGAAGTCCAGGGCGAGCGCGTGAGTTCTGAGTGCCGTGGGTGCGGCGCATGAAGTAGTCGCGAGGGGGTCCCACGCGAGAGCGCGAGCCATGCGCAAATTCTGACTGAGGGTGTCCCCGCGCGAAAGCGCGATTGAGAAGAAGTCGTGAGAAAGGCTCACGCGGGAGCCGTCGTTGCTGCAGTCTGGGGGCCAGCAACACAATCTGAGGCTCAAGATGTTCCTTCGTAGAAAAAGGGTGCGAGCACCGGGGAGGGGCACTTCAGGTGAAAAATGCAGAGGTACCGGCGAGTGGGGATCAAAACTAATCAGTGTGAGGGGGCCGAGCGGTCCCTCACTGGCCCTGGTCGCGTGGCTGAAGTGGAGTGCCACGGTGCGGCTTGGTGTTGCATCGTTGTTGTCGTCGTCCTCGCCTGCAACCAGCCCGCTGCCCACCCCGCGGCCCCCCCCACATCCCAACCCGCGGGCCACCCCGCGGCCCACCCCACATCCCAACCCGCGACCCACCCCGCGACCCACCCGCCACCCACCCGCCACCCACCCACATTGCTTTGACGAAAAAATCGGCGCCCGAGGCGGGCTTATTTCGAGCCTCGCAGACTGCCGACGATCCCGCTGCCCCCTCACTCTTACCCACAATTGCGGGGTGCTGCCTACGCTACTCTGGGGACACGAGAGCTCAGCAACAAAAAGGGCGTCGGGGCCGAGGGCAAAGCTGATCGGACGGAGGCGGGGGGGTTAACGTGTGGGCCGAGGGACGACGACTTCCAGACGAAGCGCTACGGCATCCTGCGGGACTTCCTGTCCGCGCTCCTCGCTGACAGCGCAGCGAAGGTGGCGGCAAATCCAGGACCTGTCTCCCATACCGTCCTTCCCAACTCACACACACACACACCTCGTCCCTCCCTCCTCCCTGCTCCTTCTTCTCCCCCTCCTCTCCCCCCAGCCCTCTTCATGATTCTTCCCCCTGCTCCGCAGAACTCCCTCTCTCTGCCCCCCATTCCCGCCCCCCCGCACGCACATAAAACACAAAGCATACAATCCAGGCGAAAGGCCCAAACCACATGCCGGTGCGAGTACCCCAAGGAAGGTGGGACGAAGGAGGGACAGGCTCCCATGGGGCCACCAGGCGTGTGAGGGGTGGTGGTGGTGGTGGTGGTGGAAAACAGGCCCATCATGTCCTGCACGTGTGCTGTCAGCTGCCTGTTCTGTATGCTGCACGCGTCCTGTGCAGCGCCCTGTCCTCGCACTTTCCTGTCCTGCGCGCTGCCGTCCACGTTGATCTGCTCCCGCCCTCCCCCCCCCCTCCTCCTCCTCCTCCTCCTCCTCCTCCTCCTCCTCCTCCTCCTCCTCCTCCTCCTCCTCCTCCTCCTTCCGTAGCAATTTTGGCTCAAACCATTTTGGCTCAAGGCCGCCAGGAGGCCTTACTTCTCACGATCCCCTCGGGAGGCCCCGTGCGCCGAGGGACTAGTTTAACTCAATACCACGATCTCGCCGCCATGGATTCTCATAGTGACGACCCCGAAGCGCCTCGATCGCACAGACGGAGCGATAAAGATGGCCCCGCACGTGGTGGCCCCGCCTCGGGAGACCTCGTTCCAGGCGCAGCGGGCTCATCTTCGGCCGCGGCCAGCGCTACACTGGCCGCGCAGCTGGAGGCGATGCCCACCTTCCCCTCGTTGCCAACGCCGCCGCCGGCTGCGCAGCCCGCCGCGGGCTCGGCCGCCCGCACTGGCACGCGCGGCGCCCTCTCGGAGGAGATGCACGCCGCGCTCTCCAGGGTGGTCAAATCTCACATGAACTCCACGGTCACGCAGATGGAGCAGGTGTGTCAGCGCAACATGGCGGCGGCGCAGACCGAGATGCTCAAAACCATGTCCGAGTTCTTCGACCCTGTCATCAAGCGACTTGACGGTCACGACACTGACATCCAGCAGCTCCGGCAAGAGCAGCACCGCATGGCCCAAGAGAACGAGCGCCTCAAGAAGAGCGTGGACGAGATCAAGGCGTCCCTCGCCATTGCCGAGCGCCAGCTCTCGGCCGCGGACTTGGCGCTCTTGGCGGAGTACGACCGTGATGCCGACCCGTGCATGTTCACCGCAGGCTCGCCCCAGCTCCTGGCCACCGACGCGGTCAAGGCGAGCCTGCGTGAGTGGATCTCCGACTGGGGCGTGGACACTGCGTACGTCGACGTGGTGGGTCCCGCAGGCCCCGCCAAGCGCTTCTACACCCACGTCCGCGATGGCCCAGCGGCAGCCCCGCGCGCCGTCGCGCTCACCAGAGCGCTGCGCCGGCCCGGCGGACAATGGCGCACCTTCTCTGCCACCACGCCTTCGGGCCAGCAGTGCCCGCTCTATGTCGGGGCTGACAAGGCGCCCAGGCAGGTCCGGAGGGAGATGCGTACGAAGCGGGCCCTGGCGCTCCTCACCGAGATGCACCCGCAGGCTGCCTGGTCTGCGAACCGCTCGCACGGCCTCATCAGCCGGAACTCCGTGCCTGTTGTCGAGCTTGTGCCCCAGGGCTTCGATGAGCCAAGCAAGCTCTTTTGGGACCCCGCGGCGGACACCCGGGGGATCGACGAGGCGGAGGTCCAGCGCTGCCTCCAGGCTTCGCTGGCGCCCTCGGCGGCCAACACATCGACGCGGTTGTCCTCCTAACGAGCGCTGGTGCCCTTGGCTGCTGGGCGATGCGCAGTCTTCGCAAGGTGCTTTTGATCTCCGGGTGGCCACGTGGAATGCCCGCGGACTCACGCGCCGCTGCGGCCACCAGCGGCGTGGCAAATGGGCCCGCCTGGAGCAGTTGATGCGCCGAGGCATGGTCATTCTTCTCCAAGAAGTTCATGGTCGGAAGCCTGCGATCCGAGCGGTTCTCCGACAGTGCCCCTACCAGTGCCGTCTCTTCTTCCCCACTGGGGTCACCCCTGGCACTGGATGCATCGCTTTCCTGGTCCCCTGGCACTCGGAGAGGACGCTGGCTGCGATCGACCCTTCGCTTATCCCGACCTTCGACTTCGGCGTGTTGGCGAAAGGGAGGGTTGCGACGCTGCTGGCTTCCAGTCCCGCCAGGAACCAGCATTTGAAGCTGATGAACATCCGCAAGTTTGATCTGTCCCTCCCAGAACGGTCGCATATTCGGACTGCGTGGGACTCCTCTGCCCGCTGGGCACAACAGGCCGAGCTTCATCGCCTGTTTGTCGCCATTGGCGACTTCAACGTCAGCGACAATGAACCTGTTCAACACCTTCGTCCACAACCTGCACGGGCTCGAGTTCGGCGCCCGCGCGATCTTCTTCGCCGCGCAGCTGGCGCAGCGCCGACCAGTTACGATGCAGACGCGCACTCGCACTCAGAAGGTTCCGGCGGAGCCCCCCCAGAACATTCCGAAGACAAATTGCCCCCGCAACCTCCTCCAGAAGTCGGCTCGGCATGGCACCGCGCCCAGGCAGGTCAATATATCTGGAGGCGCCTCTTTCAGGCCCCAATGCTGGAGGTCTGCTGTGAGCTCCCGACGTGCTTCTCCAAGGCGCCCTACAGCAGCTCCTTCATTAACCGCGCGCATGCGTCGCTGCGGTCGCCTTGGGCTGTGGAGACGAGCATCGCGATGGAGATCTGGCAGGAGGCGGCTTCCCTCTCGGAGTGGGGCCTCGGCGACCACGCCACCATTCAGCTCGCCATCCGGCCGAAAGCGGAGACGCCTCGCGACGCGCAGGCAATCCCAGAAAGCATCTTCTGGTCGCCCCGTTTCGCGCGGCACGTGAAGGCGCCCCTCGATTGCACCGACCTGGGCGCCATGGGCACGGCGGAGCGCTGGGCCTACGTCAAGACTCTGCTGCATGAGGCGGCCCGTCTCACCCGGAAGGAGCTCCAGCGGCTCCCGATCGGGGACGGCTCCGAGGAGGCTGGCCATGGCAGGCGAATCGCTGCCAGGGCTATTGCAAGGGCCATCTGGCGGCAGGACGCGGCCTTGGCCCAGACCCTCATTGACTCCACGGAGATTGCGGCTTCCCACCTGCTCATCGACGAGACCGGCGTGACTTTGCGCGACCCCGAGGACTTCCTGACCCAGTCGATCCACCTCCACGCCCAATGGCTGGCACGATCGCATGCAGAGCTTTGCGGCAAAGCGCGCCGAGGACGCGGCCAGGCTCCGTCCAGGAGGCGCCGGCCCTTCGGCAGCGCAGATGCGGAAACTACATTACACCACTTGCCGGCGGGCGCAGCTGTTGGCGCCGTTCCGCCGCCGCCTCCAGCTCTGCGGCATCCGCGTCGACTGTCCTGGCCATCGGGCTGAAACATTCCGCGGCGACGCCCCCATGCGCGCTGAGCTTCTCCGCCACTGGGGCCCCGTCTTCCGCGGCCGAGCGGTCGATGAAGCTATGGTCGACCAGTTCCTGGCCGAGCACGTCCCCGACTACGATGCCCCGCAATTGCCCATCCCATCGATGAAGGCGCTTGCTGGGACCCTCTCTCGGGCAAAGTTCTCGGCGCCTGGCCCGGACCGCTTGCCAGCCTCGGCCTGGCTGCTGGACGAACGGCTTCTTGAGGCGCTCTACTCGGTGATGGCGGGCCGCTTCGCCGGGCGCGTGCCGCCGTGGGGCCTGGCATTCGTGCCGAAGGGCGACGAGCCTGCTGACGCACTTGACGTCGTCCGTGGGGCTGGGCAGGTGCGCCCACTAACCATGAAGAACACCGACGTGAAGGCCATGGCGACGGCAGTCAACTTCAAGCTGTCTGCGGTCATTGGCGCGAGAGCGCACCCTGTCCAACAGGGGTTCATTCGTGGGCGGAATTTCCAGAAGCACATCGTGACGCACGACGCTTACTGCAGGGCTGCCAGCCACCACAGTGAGATGATGCCTGTCTTTGTGTCTGTTGCTTTCAAGGAAGCGTTTCCGTCGCTGTCCCGGCAGTTTCTCCGGCGTGTGCTCTTGAGACATATGATCTTTGAGGGCTATGTGGCCTTCGTGGATGCTGTCTACGCCTCGTCTCTTGCTCACCTCCAGGCTGGCCCCCTCCGCTCCCCCAAGTTCCGTTTGACCTCTGGCGTTGCCCAGGGGTGTCCCCTCTCGGGTACCCTCTGGGCTTTCGCTATGGACCCATTCCTCAGGCATTTGGAGGCGTAGACGGCCCAGATCCGTCACCTCCCAAGCGTCCCGCCGTTCAACGGCGCCTGTGCTGACGACGTGGGAATCCACTCCCCCCTCGGTGTATGACCTCCCCCTCCTGGTTCCACTTTTCGCTTCGGCTGAAAAAGTCGCCACGCTGGAGCTTCAGCCGGCCAAGTGCGTTTTAGTTCCCTTGTGGCAGCGTCTCACAGAGGCCAGTGTTCGTCAGATGCGCCAGCTTCTTCAGGTACTGGTCCCGGCGTGGGGCGCATTCAAGATCGCCGGCTGCGCTCCTTATCTCGGAGTTCTGGTCGACCCCGAGGCTGGTTTGGAGGACCAGTGGACCGGGGTGGTGCGAAAGTGGAAGTCCAGGACGAAGGAAACGTCCCTTACCAGTGCCCCCGCCGAGGCTAGTTGTAGGATCTATAACATGGGGATTTTGCCAGTGTGCCAATATCTTTCCCAACTCTTCCCCCTTCCTGCTGCCGTGCTCTCTGCTAAGCGTCACGTCCTCTACCGCCTCCTGCGTTTCCCTCCCAACTCCTTCGCATTAGCTGAACTTTTGAGTTTTGGAGTGTGGCTCCCCTCTGCAACCCCATCCCCGCTCTGCACGACAGCTGCAGCAGCGGCATGGCGCACGGCCCACCACACTTTAGAGGTGGGGCCGGCGGACGGGTGGAGGGCAGCACTGGCGCAACTGCACGAGCATGCTTGGTTGCATGGTCCTCTCGTGGATTTCCTCCGGGGTGCTCTCTCCCCCGAGTGGTGGAGGAGCCGTGTCAGCATAGTTGAATACCTTGCCTCGTTGTCCTCCACTCCCCCCATGGGCATCCCCCAGCACGCATGGCAAGAGAGTGCGGCCGCGGCCAACGTGGAATTCTGCACTGCCGGGGTGGACGGACGCCGCCCCCGCCCACAGCGAGTGTTCGCTCGATCACTTCGGCTATCTCTGTTCCCTGACCTCATGCCCTCCTTTCGCCGTCGTCGCCTCTACTCCTGGCTCCCCCACTTCCCCCAACTCCCGGATCATGAGATCAGCCTGCGATGGATCGCGTTCCGGAGGATTCTTGTGAGATCCCCGCCCTCCTGGGCATGGGCCCACTTAAAGACCTTGGCTGGCGCGTGGACCACATCAGCGCGGATCCCATCCATGGACCGCCGGCCTTGTCTTTTCGGATGCGAGCCCCCAGCCAGTGATGTTTTCATCCACTACCTTTCCTGTCCTCGCCTGCTTCACCTCCTCGCTCTTCCTCGTAGTCACTTGCCCGCCTCCCCCATTACTCGCCTCGGACTGGGGATGGCACCCGATCCTGAGCGAGAGTATCCACATGCTCGTTTGCATCAGGTAAACGTTTTGGCGTTTCACAGATACCACACATTGAAGGCAGAGTATGATGCACGAGGGAGCGCTCCCACCACTCCCACATTTCATTACACGATTCTGGCAGAATCGCAGGCCGCCATTGGTTGCTGAGCGCGCTGTCGCGCCGTAGGACCGGACTCATTCGGTACGGTCGCTCCTCCTCCTCCTCCTCCTCCTCCTCCTCCTCCTCCTCCTCGTCCTCCTCCCACTCCTCCTCCCCCACTCCTCCTCCTCCTCCTCCCCTCCTCCTCCCCGCCTCCCTCTCCTCCTCCCCTCCTCCTCCTTCTTCCCCTCCTCCTCCTCCTACTCCTCCTCCTCTCCTCCCCTCCTCCTCCTCCTCCTCCTCCTCCTCTCCTCCTCCTCCCCCTTCTCCTCCTCATCATCATCCCATCCTCCTCCTCCTCCTTCTCCTTCTCTCTCCTCTCCCCCTCAACCTCCTTCCGCCCATCCTCCTCGTCCTCCTCCTCCTCCTCCTCCTCCTCCTCCTCCCCTCCTACTCCTACTTCTCCTCCTCCTACCCCTACCCAGACCCCTCCTCCTCCTTCTCATCCTCCTCCTCCTCCTCCGCCTCCTCCTCCTCGTCCTCGTCCTCGTCCTCCCTCCTCCTCCTCCTCCTCCTCCCTCTCCCTCTCCTCCTCCTCCTCCTCCTCCTCCTCCTCCTCCTCCTCCTCCTCCTCCTCCTCTCCTCCTCCTCCTCCTCCTCCCCCTGCCCCTCCTCCTCCTCCCTCATCATCCTCCTCCCTCCTCCCTCCTCCCTCCTCCTCCTCCTCCTCCTCCCCAGGTGGCGCATGCCGCCCGCATCTCCGTCCGACCTCCTGCGAGGCCCGGGTAGCAGAGCGAGGAGAAGGAGAGGGAGGAGGAGGAGGAGGAGGAGGAGGAGGAGACGGAGGAGGAGGAGGAGGAGGAGTAGGAGGAGGAGGAGGAGGGAGTTGAAAGAGGGGGAAGAAGCGGGAGCAACGAGGAGGAAGGGGAGAAACAAAGATAGTGGGGAGGAGGGGATGGGGACAGAGAACGCAGGATGGAGGGGGGGAGAAGAGAGAGGAGGGAGGATGGAGCGGGGAAGAAGAGAGAAAGAGAGAGAGAGAGAGAGAACAACAATATACATATATATATATACACAAAACACATGCAAATCAAACCGATAAGGAGACAACAACAAAAGGAAGGAGGAGGAGAAGGAGGAAGAGGAGAGCCATTGTCTCAGGAACTAGCCTTGGCTCGGTTTCTGAATTGCACTTGCGTTTCTTCGTCCCTCCCCCTACATCTCACGATGGTCATCGTGTCCCGTCTCGACTGGCTGCGGCGCACTGCTGCGACACGAACGCTTCTAGTGCTGGTCGACCCAGCTCTGGATATGGACAGCACGAAATCCTAGTTCGCACATTGCGTCGACAGCGGATGCCGAGCCCCTTTGTGCCTGCCTGTGCTGTGTTGGTCATTTGCGTTCTGGACACTAGACTTGCACACTCCAGATCTTTCAATATGCACCCCCGTTGTGCCAACCTGTCCGACGCCCCTTGCCCGCCCCCCGACGCGCCCCGAGCCCACTCCCTCTCGCTCCCCAGCCTCCCCACGCCCCCCGAAGGACAGCAGTTTCCTACCCCCCCACGCGCTCCACCCCCCCACGCATATCGAGAGACCTGGAGTACCTTCTGCACTTTGTCTGCGTTGATCGAGGGCACCTCCGTTCAGAGGCGTCGTCTCCGTGGTCCGTCACGGATTTGGATCTGAAGCCGACTATGCTGTAGTTGACATCCTTCGTGAGCCAGTTCACGTCTTGACTGCAATTCATTTGGAGATCATCCATAAGCCAAGACTTGATCTAGTGAACGAATAGTTTGGCCAGTATACCATAGCATTATTCTCCAGGCGAGGCGTTATGCCCTCCTAGCCTGCCAATGTCGTAGTCCATATTGGTTGCAAGACTAGTCCCCCCAGGGTGCGTGGGCTCCTCCTCCTCCTCCTCCTCCTCCTCCCTCCTCCTCCTCCCCTCCTCCTCCCCCTCCTCCTCCCCCTCCTCCTCCTCCTCCTCCTCCTCCTCCTCCTCCTCCTCCTCCTCCTCCTCATCCTCCTCCTCTTCCTACTCCTGTCACAACACGGCCGCCTGCCATCGCTCGTTGTGAGGGTAGAGCGATGATGGACGTGCTAATCCTCCTCCCCCTCGCAGCGCAGGAGCTGCGAAGGAGACCGCGGCGGGCCAGAAGCTGCCCGTGGACGTGCTGGAGCGCATGGCGCCGACGCTCGAGGCCTTCTACTGGAGGCGTGTCGTCTTCGACGAGTTCCACGAGGCCTCCTGGCCCTGAGGGAGGGGGGCCTCGAAGGGGAGGGAGAGAGAGAGAGAGAGAGACATGACCATGAAGGAAGGGGGTCCTGAGGGCAACGTGCTCTGAGGTGTTCCGCCGTTTGGGGCCCCTCCGGGCTCTCCGCAGGTCCTGGGACTGTCGGAAGACACTTCGGGAATGAAAGCCTGCCGCTGTCATGCCCAGGGAGGGGGGGGCGCGGTGCTGCGTGCCAGGTTTGTCGGAAGGCTCCAGCGCTCGCTGCATCGGTTGGTCCAGGATGCTGCCGTGCCCTGGCGATCATCGCCCGGGCGGCCGCCGTCGTGGAGAGGGGCGAGCAGGAGGCCCAGGCGTCCAGGACGTCGGGGGCCGACCCCGCCCCTGCTCCACGCGAGGAAGGGGCGAGCCCTCCGCGACGCCGGAGGGCAACAACCGGCCACGCCGGTGCGCGCCCCCTGTCGGAGCCCACCTCCCGAGCCCCAGGGGAGAACGACGGCGACGACGACGGCGGCCAGCCAGAGGCTCCGGCGAGGCTTCCTTGAGGGCCACTGGAGCTGGTATCGTTTGACCGATCCCCATCCCCATCGCCAGCCCCATCCAGACCCCGGCACCCCAGTTGGGGACACACCTCGAAACCCGAAGGGAACGGCCCATATCCCCATCTAGGGGGTCAATCGGTCATTGGGGCCCAGGCCACGTTCATGGGGTTAGGGGTCGGTTAATCGATGCCCATGAAGCCCCCCAGAAGGCAGAAGACATGCCAAAAACTGAGCGCATTCGAAGCCACACTCTCGAACCCGCGCGCCCCTCGGAGGTCATGAGCATCCCCGAGGGGCGCCGCTGACGACGACGAAGACGACGACCACGACGACGACGATGACCACGACGACGACGACGACGACGACGACGACGACGACAACGACGACGACGTGGACCACGACGACGACGTCCACACCCCTCGGAGCCTCGGAGGTGATGAGCATCCGCGAGGGGCGCCCGTTCCAGGCACTCCGCCAGTGCTTCGCCAAGTTCCACTGGGGCCTGACTGCCGCGGGCCGAGCGATCTCTGGGCTCTGGCAGGGCTTCCCCGTCGTCGCCGTGGCCGTCGCTGTCGGCGCCGGCGTCGTCGTGGTTGGCGTCGGCGTTGCGTTTGCGTCGTCGTCGTCGCCGATCGTGGATCAATCCGTGACGATCGAGGATCGAGATTGTTGGGGCGTTCTTGGCCCTATCGCGGCCTTAACAAAGGCCTTTGGAGGCATACGAGGACTTCCGGAGACGTCGAGAGACCTCTTGAGGCCTTTGGGTGACGAGGGAGGGAGGGAGAGAGGGATGTTTTGGATTGCGCCGTTGATGGAGCACGTAATGCGTCAGTCAGCAAATTGTGGCACGTAGCTAGCAGAGACAATTTGGCACAGTCAGCTGGCTGCACTACAAAGTCGAGGAACCAACACTCTGCACGGGCACCTAAGGTTACAGTTCAGTCAGTGAACCACTAAAACTTTCAACCGTGGTCGGATCGGTGGTAGCGACACAACGTTCGGGCGGTCCTGGAATAATGCTGGCGAAACGACCCTGGCCACCAAGCCATGTCAAGCAAGACTGCAAAATTGCGAGACTGTGCGGCGAAATTTCAAGGCAAGCACGAGACTGCGAGACTGCGAGACTGCGTGCGCCATGCCAAAGTAGCAGATTCTTCCTAACTGTGATCCCCCTCTTCCTCCCCACGCTCTCTCTGCTACTCCTCTTCCACCGGCCCAAGTGACGCAGGCCTACTGCCAGCCGAACGCTCGCTGGACTTCGTCTTGAAGATTATCGAATCGACTGTGCCCAAACTGTGTTAGAGGCGGCCACGGGGCGATTCGTTGTGCAAGTCGACGCTTGCTTGAGTTATCTTGTTTGAGCTCTTTTGGCCGCAATCTGGTCTCGGATTTCACTATTGAGCTCAACTGGCTGGGGTGGGGGGGGAGCCGAGTTTGACGATTGAGAGAGCACGAAGGGGGGATCCGAATCCCCCGACTGTGGCAAAACGGCTCCGGCTGAGAAAGCGAGAGCTTCACGGTTGGAGGGAGGGTGGTTTCCAAAATGTGGTTCTCGCCTCAGCGCCGCGCGCATTCGCTCTAATAGATTGCAACAGTTTCAACGATAGAGGGCGGGCCGTTTTCAAAATGTGACCCTCGCCTGAGCGCCGCGCACATTCGTTTTAGAAGTTTGCAAGAGTTCACGGATGAAGGATCATGTGGATCTCGCTTCAAAACCGCGCGCACTCGTCTTAGCAGTGTACAGCGGTTCTTGACGATATATATATATATATATTTATATATATTGAGAGAGAGAGAGAGAAATATAACGCACGCGCTTGAATGGGAAAATCTTGTGAGGGCGGGCTACTCATGTTGCCTGTCATGCCTGAGTTACCTTCCTGGCGGGCGCGAACCTCCTCGCTCCTCTTCTGTCCGCGGCGGATCGCCGCAATGCAGGGCCGCCTGCAGGTCGTCGCTCTAGCAGTTGTGCCATCGATGAGGGTTCGGCGATTAGCTGCCAACCCTGCCCTCCCGTGTGTTGCGCGTCCAGCTAGGCAGGGGGGCGTTCTGGGACTCCCAGGTGTCCCCGGCCTGGTAGCGTCGCGTGTCTGGCCCGATGGGGGCGCGTGGGCGCGCGCGGGGGGGCTGGAGGCCCGTCCCCTTTCAAGATCTTCTTGACAGATTCTTATGGCTAACGTCCGTGCTTTAGCGCAAATTTTCGCACGATTGTCCTCCAACGGTGCTCCCGCAGTGCAAATCGATCCTTCCAGGAGCATGTGAAGAGGAGATTCAGAGGCAGGGTTTACTGCAACACCGTTGACGAAGCTTGGGGTTGCACTGGTCTTCCTCCTCCTCCTCGTCCTTCTCCTCCTCCACCTCCTCCTCCTCCTCCTCCTCCTCCTCCCCCTCCTCCTCCTCCTCTTCCTTCTCCTACTCCTCCTCCTCCTCCCCCGCCTCCTCCTCCTCCTCCTCCTCCCCCTCCTCCTCCTCCTCATCCTCCCCCCCTCCTCCTCGTCCTCCTCGTCCTCCTCCTCCTCCTCCTCCTCCTCTTCCTCCTCCTCCTCCTCCTCCTTATCCTCCCCCCCTCCTCCTGTCCCCCCCTTCCCCCCCTGCTCCTGCTCCGCCTCCTCTTCCTCCTCTCACTCCTCCTCCTTCTCCAACCTCGTCATTCTCCCCCCACCTTCGAATGGTCAGCCATCGCTGCCGGCGGGAGGGAAGACTGGGGGGGGGAAGGCGGCCAGCCAAGGCCACCCCCCCTCTCGGCAACTCGCGCGACGTGGCCGACATGGCGTCGCTGCTGCACATCTCCATGTGATGGGCACATCTTCCATCACCGCTACCTCATGTTGGACGTGGGATAAGGGATGATGAGGAACTCCTCCTCCTCCTCCTCCTCCTCCTCCTCCTCCTCCTCCTCCTCCTCCTCCTCCTCTCCTCCTCCGCCTCCTCCTCCTCCTCCTCCTCCACCCTCTCCCTCTCCTACCTATAGCAGTGGTGGTGGAAAATGGGCACATCTCCATCTCGCCCCTCAGCCGGCGCGAGTCCCAGCACTTCCTCGACGAGTGGGCGCCGCGCGCTCCCGCTCCTCCTCGGCCCTCGTCGGGGTTGGGGGTGAGGAGTGGGGAGGGAGGAGTGGGAGAGGCGGAGGAGGAGGAGGAGGGAGAGGACGAGGAGGACGAGGAGGACGAGGAGGAGGAGGAGGAGGAGGAGGTGGAGGCAGAGGCAGAGGAGGAGCAGGATGAGGTGGAGGAGGAGGAGGAGGGATTATGATGATGATGATGATTATGATGATGATGATGATGAGGAGGAGGAGGAGGAGGAGGAGGATGATAATGGCGATACTGATGATAATGATGGTGATGTTGATGAGTTTGATGATGGTGTTTATGATGGATGATTATCATGATGATGATCATGACGAGGATGGTGATGCTGATGATGATGATGATGATGATGCTGATGCTGATGATGATGATGGTGTTGTTGATGATGATGGTGATGGTGGTGATGAGGAGGAGGAGGAGTACCATTGTACACCCAAGGGCCATCAACGATGTTGGAATACACCCTCCCCCCAAGCTCCCTCTTCATAGCCGCCTACAACGGTTCATTTCCATTGAAGGATCTGTCCCGTTGGAAGATATCCGTTTGAAAACTTGGAAGCAGGCAAAACATGTTCCCGGGATTTCAACGCCACGGATCAACCTGACTGTTACGTCTTGACGATCCTGGATCGCGCCAGAACGCCATTCTTGGGTTTCAACACCGCAAATCAACGTAATTGTCGCGCCCTCAAAATCCTGAGTACTTCCAAAGCGCTACTTCTGGTACATTGATCGTGGGATTCCGTGAAACACTGGCCATTGGATAACACGAGTCTGCGCGGCGGCGCTAAGGCGAGAGTCACAGTTTGAAAAGGAACCACCCCCAATCCGTGAAGCTCTTGCATGTTTGTTTAACCACATGCGCGCGGCGATAAGGCGAGAACCACAGCTTGAGAAGGACTCGCCTTCAATCCGTGAAGCTCTTGCAAGTTTGTTGGAAGCATGTCCGCGGAGCTAAGACGAGGGCCACGTGTTTCAAGCTTCAGAGTCATTATTGGCGAGGAAGTCTCAGGTGAAACGCCCGACCCGCCCCCAAAAACTGGTTGTGGGGTGCGACAGGGAGAAGTTATCTACATGGAAATGGATTGAGGAGGAGGAGGAGGACGACGCGGAGGAGGAGGAGACGGATGGAGGAGGAGCAGGAGGAGGAGGAGGGAGGAAGAGGGAGGAGGAGGGGGAAGGAGGAGGAGAGGAGAAGAGGGAGGAGGGAGAGGAGAGAGGAGGAGGAGGAGGAGGAGGCGGAGGAGGAGGAGGAGAAGGAGGAGGAGAAGGAGGAGGAGGAGGGGTTGAAGGAAGAGGGGGAAGGAGGAGGAGTTGGAGGAGGATCAAGATGAGGCGGAGGTGAAGGAGAGGAGGAGGAGGAGGGAGGAGGAGGAGGGGGAGGAGGAGGAGGAGGAGGGAGGAGGAGGAGGAGGCGGAGGAGGAAGGAGGAGGAGGGAGGAGGGAGGGGAGGGAGGGAGAGATGCAGGGAGGCAGGGGAGGAGGAGGAGGAGGGAGGAGGAGGAGGAGGAGGAGGAGGAGGAGGAGGAGGGAGGAGGAGGAGGAGGGCGGAGGAAGTGGAGTGCAGCTCTCCAGAAGGCGACTGAGTCAACCACCCCTGAGCAAGCAAACCACTGGCAGGCGGCCAACGGCGCGGGCGCCCGCGGCGATCCGCGGGCCGCTGGTGCAGGCCTGCTCGGCGGCATCCTCAACCCTTTAAGGGGAGGGCCAGGCAGGCACCAGCGGGCGGTTGCGACGCTGCAGCAAACAAACACACGCCCCGATGAAGTATCACATGTGGGGCCCGTCACATTCTCGGTAGCACGCGGGGACCGCGGAGGGTGGGTGTGACGGGGTCCCCAATGAGGAGGGCGGGGGGAGAGGAGGAAGAGGCGGAGGAAGATGAGGCGGCGGCAGAGGAGGAGGAGGAGGAGGAGGAGGAGGAGGAGGAGGAGGAGGAGGAGGAGGAGGAGGAGGAGGGAGGAGGAGTTGGAGGAGAAGAAGGAGCATGGAGGAGGAGGAGGAGGAGGAGAGGAGGAGGAGGAGGAGAGGAGGAGGAGGAGGAGGGAGGAGGAGGAGGAGGAGGAGGAGGAGGAGGAGGAGGAGGAGAGGAGGAGGACGGAGGACGGGAGCGGAGGAGGAGGAGGAGGAGGAGGAGGACAAGGAGGAGTGAGGAGGACGGGAGGGAGGAGGAGGGAGGAGGAGGGACGGAGAGGAGGAGGAGGGAGGAGACGAGCAGGAGGGAGGGAGGAGGAGGAGGATGCGGAGGAGGAGGAGGAGAAGGAGGAGGGGCACCAGGACGAGGAGTAGGAGTTGGAGGAGGATGCGGAAGGAGGAGGAGGATGAGGAGGAGGAGGAACGGGGAAGAAGGACAAGGATAAGGGAGGGAAGGGAGGAAGAGGAAGAGGAGGACGATAAGGACTTGGATGAGGAGGAGGAGGAAGATGAGGAGGAGGAGGAGGGAAAGGAGGAGGCGGAGGCGGAGGAGGAGAAGGAGAGGATTATTTGGATTGCGCAATTGATTCAGCAATTCGCTGGTCAGGTGAGTGGAGGCGGAGGAGGAGGAGGAGGAGGAGGAGGAGGAGGAGGGGGAGGAGGAGGAGGAGGAGGAGGAAGAGGAGGAGGAGGAGGAGGAGGAGGAGGAGGGGGAGGGAGGAGGAGTTCGAGGAGGAGAACGAGGAGGAGGCGGAGGAGAAGACGGAGGAGGAGGAGGCGGAGGAGGAGGAGGCGGTGGTGGAGAGGAGGAGGAGGAGGAGGAGGAGGAGGAGGAGGAGGAGTTCGCGGTGCGTCACACATTCCAGTTCGTCTCATTAGCTGGATGCGTGAGCCGCAAGGCGCAAGAGTGTCCAGCTGGGAACGCTCAGAGCGGGCAACGTCCACCCCCCAAGGGGTGCGTTTCTCTGTTGAGGCCTTGGAAGGTGCAGCCAGGCCGCGTAGTCCTGGTACAGATGGGCAAGGTCACCTTCTAAGATTATGAGTTCCATCTGCCGCTGATGCAACCCCAGCGGCCGCTATTGGGCGTGGGGGCACGGGTAATGGCTGCGCTGTCGAGAGTGTCTGACGGCTCGAGTTCGCTCGCCAGTGCCAGATCTGGGTTGTGCGGTGCACAGCGTCCCTATGCGGCATCTCTCAGCTTGCATACGTGAAGATGTTCGTTCGCGTTCGCATTGCCGCTGGTGCACACCACACGTCCCACCTCTCCTCACCGTGTCTTTTTTTCCCGCACGAGCGCGGGCAACGTCTGCGTTATCAAGTGGGTGGGCGGAAGAGTTTCTCACCATTGTGGTGTGCAGGGATCTGCGTCCTTGTGTGATTTCCCTGTGTGCATTGGCGAGGACCCGTCACATCGGTATTTCTTCATGTTCTCCATACACCACAGGTGCGTGAATTGTTTACAAGGCACATCTGCGGTGGTAGCTACCACCCCTCGGCTCTGCCCAAGTGCCCTCCTCAAGGGCCAGCCCATTCCGGGACTAATTATTTCTTGCCACTGTGCTCGCAACCAACGGGGGCGGGCAGGCACGTTTGCCAGGCCGCGAGTTCTTGCAATGATCTCCAGGTAACTGTTTTTGAGGCTCGTGGTCCTCCACTCAGGGCCCCAGAGTTGCGGAGGATCGTGATCCTCCTGCGACTTGGGCCCCCTGTCACAACCATGTCATGTGTTCCGCCCCTCAGGGCTGTAGCCAATCAGTAGTGGCACTCCTGCCCCCCCACCCCACCCGCCAAGCAGGCGAGGCAAAAGGGGGAACGCGAGGCAGGGTGAGGCGCGGCCGCACGGGTGCCGCACGCCCTGGGACGGGGCCCAGCACGGACCTGACCTCGAGGTGCGCGCCTGGGCCGTGCCCACGAGCGGCAGCGCGACGTCAGACCCCACGAACTCGCTCCTTTCGTCTTCGGCGAGGCAGGGGCAGGCCGCTCCAGCGTTCTGGCTATTCGGGGCAACCGAACGGCGAATTGTCCGGCCCCGACGGACTCGCACGCCACATTGGATTCCAGGGCGTACCCCGTCCTTCGCCCTCGCGGGAGTAGTTCCACCGCACCGGCACGTGGAAAAGTAGTAGTTTAGAGCGTGTGACCCATCTCGCTGAAGACCACCCGCCCCAGTAAAGATCCCGAGTGGCACGCCCGACCGAGTTCAAGACCCATAAGATGCCATGAGGTAGTGAAAACGTCCGAATGTGAAAGCGCGACATCACCAGGGTCCAACAGACACCATGTGCAGCAAGAGGGCGTCCAGTTGCTTCCCAATCATGCCGCATCTCTTCACAATGAGATGGCTGCTGACCACCCGACGTGGATCGCCCTGCGTGTTAACGGGCCGCATGCTCACAATGTGCGTATTGTTCGAAGCCTCTGCTTCCAACCTCTGTATATGGTAAGTATTCCTCTTAGTGTTTATTGCTGGGCCTGCGAGGCGGGTCCTCTTGGGCCTCGCCTTAACTTTCCTCTGCTCAGAGCGCTGGCGCCTGACTAGCTGGTGCCTCTATGCCTCGTATCCTCGGGTCCTGGTGTGGTATGACCCCCTTTATGCGCTTACGTAAACTGCGAAGCCGAGACCGCGTGGCATATACTGCACCCGCGAGCCCTCGACACGGTGCCGAAGATTCAACGCGTGGACCCCATGTCGCTGACCAGAATCCCATCCAGCAAGAACAGAATATGAGCATTGGAACTTCGACAACAACAGTACGCAGTACAGCGAAGACGTTGAATTTCGGACCGCTTGGGGCTCAGGAGGGGCTATGGTTTTGAGCCGTTCCCAAAATCTAGATCGGAGAACCTTTCGTGGCCGAGTCTTGCGGTGGCCAGAAGCGCTCCTTTGATTCCTATTAAGCGTGCCTGACGGCAGGACGATGACAGTAGACGCCGTCAGTTGCAATAGCTTGCATTGCGCTGATTTCCCAATCACGCAGTCACTGCTTGCATTGATTCATTACTTGCCACCTATCATGGCTCACCCTGCGTGTTAGCAAGTTGTGGTCTCATCGTTCGACTTTTAATATGTCTGACACGGCTGCGTGGTCAGATTCTCGTTTGCTGGTATGCGTCGTAGATTGCATGCCAGCTGACCTTCAACACCGCGTGCTAGGACCCCGGGGAAAGAGGAGCAAGGAGAAGGGCGGGGACGGGAGGAGGAGCAAGGAGCTAAGATTTGAAGTAGCATGCCACTTGAGCGCCCCAACCCCAAGGATGGCGCAGCTCCTGGCGGGGGGGCACCGCCGGGTGAGCCACAGTGGTCGTTGGCGCCCATGGTGGTTGACGCGCGAGATCAGGGCAACCATCGAGCTGAGCGAAGAGCCAATGCTGTGGAGAAGATGTCCCGTGGACGCCGTCGGGTCGGTCCACTTACCGGGCCCATAGTAGAAGAGGGGAGGAGGGAGGAGGGAGGATGTATGAGCGAGGAGTGACAGGAAGCAGGATGGAGGGAGGATGGAGCAGGGCAGGGGGAGGAGAGGAAGAGTGAGAAGGGGGAGGCGGAGAGGGATAGGAGGCAAGGGGCAGGAGGGGGATGTGGGAGAGTAGGGGGATCAGGGAAGAGAGGGAGATGGAGATGGAGGAGGAGGAGGAGGAGGAGGAGGAGGAGGAGGGAGGAGATGTAACAGGAGTAGGTGCAGGAGACGTCTCGTCCTCCCCCTCCTCCTCCTCCACCTCCTCCTCCTCCTCCTCCTCTTTCTCTGCTCTTCCTTGGGTTCCCATCCCTCTCACTCCTCGTGCATCGCCCCACCCATTATATCTCCTCTCCTGTCGTTCTCTCCCTACTGCTACCTTCTCCCCGTCCCCCTCTCATGTTTCCATCCTTCACTGCGCCGCTTCTTCCTCCTCCTTCCCCTCATCATCGTTCCCCCTCTTATTGCCCCTCCGCTTCCCCGTCCGTCCCCTCCTCCTCCTCCTCTTCCTCCTCCTGCTCCTCCTCGTCCTCCTGCAAGCATGGTTTCCACGGAGAGATGCAACCTTGCCCTCCTGCCTGGCCGGAAGACCATGGCTTGAGCACCGTATCAGGACGAGGAGGATCGAGAACGGCATCATCAGCGACAGCAGCATCAGGCGGAGGAGAAGCGGAGATGGAGGGCGTCTCGGCCCGAGCAGCATCGCGAAGGAGCACGAGTGGAAGAGAAGCGCGCACCCCAACAGCGGATCCCCGAGTTTTTGTTTGGTGGAGGGCAGGCAGCGTCAATTCACGCAGGCGGCGGGCGGAGAGGATGAGCCCAGACACCGGACGCCGTGACCAAACAAACACATGATCGAAAACGTTTACGGCGAATCACCGCCGCCCCCTGCCATTTGGAAACGCCCATGCGGCCAAACGTTGGGCCGAAGTGAGGCCAAGCAGTTGGTGTGTGCGTTCCCCAGACATTGCGCACCTCCGTGGAGGAACACTGGGGAGAGGAAGAGAGGAGGAGGAGGAGGAGGAGGAGGAGGAGGAGGAGGAGGAGGAGGAAGCAAAGGAGGAGGATGACGATGAGGACGAGGAGGAGGAGGAGGAGGAAGGAGGAGGAGGGGGAGGAGGAGAGGGAGGAGAAGGCAGGGGAGGAAAAAGAGGAGACCTTCTTGGGCTCTGGGGGACTCCCTTGGGGCCGTTGGGAGAGCTCGAAGGGGCAGCCCGGGGGCCTCCTGGGGCTTCTTGGGGGTCTCCTAGGACCTCTTAGGGACATCTTGGGGGCCCATCGCAGGCCTCCTGGCCTTCGGAGGCCGTCTTGGGCCTTTCCTGGGCAGTCGTGGGTCCCTCTTTGGGCGCTTGGGGACTGTCGGAGGGCGTCTTGGTGGCCTCTTGGGTTGCCTTGGAGACCTCTTGGGCCGTCTTGCGAGCCGCTTGGGGGCCTTCTGGGCCGCCTTGGGACGATCGTTGGGGCCTAAGGGCCCATCTTGGAGCGTCGGGCGCCCGAATAGGCGTGAACGCTCACATCACTGAACAATCCAAGGACAGAACACAAGGTTTTAGGCATCCTGGAAGTCCCCTTGGAGCCCACTTGTGGCATCTTAGGGTCCACTTGGGCCGTCTTGAGGCCATCTTGGGCCGTCGAGGGGCCATCTCAGCCGTCTTATATGCGTCTCGGGACCGTCTTGGAGGTCATTCTTGCCGTTTGGGAGGCATCTTGGAAACATCCTGGAGGCCATTTTCGGCTATATTGGCTGTCTTGGAGGCGCTTAGGCCAATGGAGGGCGCAGATTACGCAGCTCTCCAGGTGGCCACCGGGTCGGGCCAAAGTTTCAGGGGGAGTTGCTTATAAAAGAGCCAGAGCCTCCGAGAAGTCTGGCAAGCTCTGCGCCCCTCTGACAAGATCACAGGTGTGCGGCGGATAGTGCCCTTCGGCCCACCCCGCCAACGTGCTTGGGTCGTGGGCAAGAGGCCTCGTCGAGGCATCTTGAGGGCCTCTTGGGGGTCCTTTTGGATGCATGTTGAGACATATTGGGGGGATATGGGGGATTCTGGGGGCTCCCTCCCTCCTCCTCCTCCTCATTCCCTAGTTTTCCGACGCCCTTGTTTTTTAAGAACGTGGACTCACAGTGCTTCGACTCCTTCCACTGGGCCAGCTCTTCATCCTGAGTCGGCCTTGACGGCCCTGGGCCCAGACACCGCTTTCAGTGGCTGGCAATCGAGAAAAACCAACAATGCACGCCAGTTTCCTGCGACGCCAGGATCTGAGGGCGTCAGCCACCTTCTGGGGAGATAGAAGGACCTCTCTCGTGGCCGGCACAGAGGGCGCTTCGCCCCCCCTCCCAATCAGGTGCGATCATCCAGCTGGGACACCAGCACCATCCCGCTCGAGAACCGCGTCATCGAGGTCCGGCACACCCGGCAGGAGAGGTGCGATCATCGCTCGATCGAGGTTCAAGGCTTGAAGAGGCTGGTCCGCACCATCTTACATCTGAGGCCACGTCTCTGGCCCCAGGACAGTCAACATTTACCAGGAGCAAGACATTGCCCAGGATGGGCCCCAGGAGAGGTCTGGGGACGAATTGTTGGCGGACTTTGGCAGTCGTCCTCGTGGTCGTGATGGTCGTACTCGTCCTCGTCATCTTCGTCTTCGACTTCGTTCTGGTCGCTCTCCGCTTGGTCTCATCCCCCTCTCTGTTCCTCCTCCTGCTCCTCCTCCTGCTCCTCTCTCAAATCAGTAGTCATTTGGGCTCAAGATTGACTCGAGTATTTTTGTCGAGCCATTTTGGCTCGTGCAATCGTATCATACCGATGTGGTTTGTTCGTTTTCCAGATGGCGCATTTTCTATTGATCGCCAGCCCAGTCCGGGCCCGCGGTGCGTCCGGCCTGGCCCCTGCTGGCGACTTCGATTCCGCGCAGATGCAGAGGGGCTCTCGTCAACGCCGAGGGTGAAGTTGGAGAAGGAATTCTGCACGCAGACCGACGTGCCACTATCTATCTCCACACGAGACATGGTGACAGATGTGCAGCAGAGAAGCGCACCCACACAGCCGTGAGTGCCTATCTATCCCCGCGGGGCCGAGATGCACCGGCGCTGGATTGTCGAGCTGGTGAACACTGCTACGAATGAGGACTTGCAGTTTATTTTCCACGAGGTCCAAAACTGCCAGACGGGCAGCCCAGATTTGGGCGAGTTGACAAGTGTGGTGGGACGTTTGACACCAGATGAACTAAGGCGTTACTAGACAAGTAGCCCGTTTGCCCGAAGTTTGCCGAAGAGGATGTCTATGAGACCATGCAGATGGAGCCCAACCATGGAAAGCACAGCCCACGGGAGCTGCGATCACACCCATGGGGCATCCAGTCCATCAAGGCCGACGTGGGCCGGGGACGGTGTTTCGGGGTGAACGTGCACGTGCTGGACGCTGGCATTCGCTGCCCGGGCTGTGCGCTGGGTGCCCCGCCACAGTGCCGTCGTTGCGTGGGTCGGCGAGCTTGCGCATGATCTCGGGGGCGTGGTCCGCGCGCGCGTCGACGACGACGGCGCTGTACTCCTCCCGCTGCATGGGGGGTAGACGTAGCCGCAACGAACATCACCACAGTGTGTGCGAGCGAAGTAGCACAGCGTGCGCTGCTGACGGCCATGGGCACGGCGTCCATGTCGTTGGTACAGTGGGACCCTCGACATCTGTCGTTGCGGATGGCGCGACCTTTTGGGCAAGTCAGTTTTTCGATAACCACCGATACGGTTACATCCAGGTGTCCAGTATGGCCGAGCAATGGGTGAAGTTGTCTGGTGCCAGGCCACCGGTGGTCAGCATGCGTTTGCTTCTAAGAAGTTGCTCCGTCCTTACGAGAAACTGAACTGCTGGGGTGTTTCTCAGAAGTGGTGCGCCCGTGGCTTCTTAGAAGGGCGGCCGGCGCCTTCTAAGAGGCAGCCTCCTTCCAAGGAGCCTTCTCCATCTACTCCCGTGTGCGCGCCGCTTGGTTCCCGACAACCTCGTTGACACCCTTGCCGGAACCAGCACCGAAACAAGCGCAAGCACCGAGACCAGCACCGCAAGCGGTCCGAGACCCCCACCTCACCAACATGTGCGACGAGCGTTTTGATCATTATCGCGTGGGCGTGCGCGTCCTTTTGCAGATAACGCTGTGGACTGGACCGCAGGAGACATTACTAGGCCGGGAGGCCGACACCAGGCGCATGGGTGACGCGCGCTCAGAGTTCTATTCCCGGGCAGCGGGGCATGTTGGAATTTGACAAGCCAGAGCGACCAAGAACAAACCCAACAGTATGCAATGTGGACGAGCCACGTCAAGGACGACTTGAAGATGGCAAACGATCGCGCTCGTAAGGCGTCGACTACCTCAACGTCCATGCCAGGAACATTTGCAGTGCCAATTGTCCTGTCGGCGGCCTACTGGGGGAAGACGACCATTGGACCGTGGCCTTTCTTTAGGAAACATGCGTCAACAGTTGGTTCTTTTTGAGCGGTCAGGTTCTTCGCAGCGCCAGTTGTAGCAGCGAGCTTCGTCGGACTACGTGGTGCTTGTTTCACACTTCCTGTTCGTTTTGAGCGGCCATGCTGTGATCGTCCTCTAACCCTTTTCTATAAGTCGCTGTTTTTTCATACTTTCGCGTTCTCTGCTATCATTTCGTTACGCCGTGCGGTGAGTCGAACGGTTGACCTGCTGATTCAGTTGTTTGATGGCATGCGCTCCCGTTGGGATTGCGCCAACTCTAGCTCGCGTCGGTGCGGTGAGCAGTCTTTTCCTCCTATTCCTCTCAACGTCGATCGCCAGAAGCTCGTAAAGCACGTTCTGGCCAGGAGCCGGGGGCGGATCCAGTCGCGGTGACGTGACGCCCCCCCCTCCCCTCCCCGAAGGTCCAAAAGGCATCCCCTTCCCCCAACATCCCCCCATCCCTCTTGTCAAAATTCATCCCGTCTGCTTTTCCTCCTCCCGCCCTCCCCCGTGTTCTCTTGTTCCAAAGCGTGCCGAACACGCGAAAAAACAAAGTAATTACCCTGTGACGTACCCAACCCATTTGTATCAATGGAAACGAGGAGTTGGCCGAAACTTGCATGGACAATCAACTTGATGTGTAAGCTACTTGGGACACGCGCCTATGGCATGATGCGCAGGAGAACCATACAAGAACGAGGAGCGACAGCTACAGGCTCGAAAAGGACATGGGGAGTCGGGAACGCAGAGCAGGAGAAAAACGTGCGGGAAACCGGACCGTCAGCACGGCAGCAGCAGAGGAAACGTGACTGCAGGAGGAGAACAAGGACGAACGCGGCTTCTAATTTGAGTCTGCGGTGGGTACCCACTGTGCTGGGCCCCCCAGCAGGCCTCGAAAGTGGCGACAGTTTCACAGATCGCAGCCCCCCAGGGATGGCGAGGTCTAATTTGAATCCGCGTGTGGCGTCACTGTGCTGGGCGAACCAGCAGGCTTCGAAAGTGGCGACAGTTTCACAGATCGCAGCCCCCCAGGGATGGCGAGGTCTAGAAAGTGGCGACGGTTTCACAGATCGCAGCCCCCCAGGGATGGCGAGGTCTAATTTGAATCTGCGGTGAGTACCCACTGTGCTGGGCCCCCCAGCAGGCCTCGAAAGTGGCGACAGTTTCACAGATCGCGGCCCCCCAGGGATGGCGAGGTCTAATTTGAATCTGCGGTGGGTACCCACTCTGCTGGGCCCCCCCGCAGGCCTCGAAAGTGGCGACAGTTTCACAGATCGCAGCCCCCCAGGGACGGCGAGGTCTAATTTGAACCCGCGGTGGGTACCCACTGTGCTGGGCCCCCAGCAGCCTCGAAAGTGGCCTCGAAAGTGGCGGCAGTTTCACAGATCAGCATGGCCCCCCCCCAGGCGATCCGAATTCTCCGCGGTGAGTACCCACTGTGCTGGGCCCCCCCAGCAGGCCTCGAAAGTGGCGGCAGTTTCACAGATCGCAGCCCCCCAGGGATGGCGAGGTCTAGTTTGAATTTGCGGTGAGTACCCACTGTGCTGGGCCCCCCAACAGGCCTCGAAAGTGGCGACAGTTTCACAGATCGCAGCCCCCCAGGGACGGCGAGGTCTAATTTGAGTCTGCGGTGGGTACCCACTGTGCTGGGCCTCTCAGCAGCCTTCGAAAGTGGCGGCAGTTTCACAGATCGCAGCCCCCCAGGGATGGCGAGGTCTAGTTTGAAACCGCGGTGGGTACCCACTGTGGTGGGCCCCCCAGCAGGCCTCGAAAGTGGCGACAGTTTCACAGATCGCAGCCCCCAGGGATGGCGAGGTCTAGTTTGAGTTTGCGGTGAGTACCCACTGTGCTGGGCGAGCCAGCAGGCCTCGAAAATGGCGACAGCTTCACAGATCGCAGCCCCCCAGGGATGGCGAGGTCTAATTTGAGTCCGCGGTGGGTGCCCACTGTGCTGGGCCCCCCAGCAGGCCTCGAAAGTGGCGACAGTTTCGCATATCGCAGCCCTCCAGGGATGGCGAGGTCTAATTTGAATCCGCGGCGGGTGCCCACTGTGCTGGGCCCCCCCAGCAGGCTTCGAAAGTGGCGACAGTTTCACAGATCGCAGCCCCCCAGGGATGGCGAGGTCTAATTTGAACCCGCGGTGGGTACCCACTGTGCTGGGCCCCCCAGCAGGCCTCGAAAGTGGCGACAGTTTCACAGATCGCAGCCCCCAAGGGATGGCGAGGTCAAAGGCAGGGGGGAAGAGAGGGACGGGAGGGGGTGGGAAGGAAGGAGACGCGCGAGCAGTGCTCCATTCAAAACGAGAACCCAACGCAGGAGGGTTGGGAATATGGGAGAAAAGGAATCCCTTCCCCTTCCCCTTATCTACCCTTCCACCCGCCCTTCAGCCAGCCACCTCCCCGCCCTATGTTGTGCAACCTATGCTGCGAGACCGGCGTGGTGCAATCTACGTGGTGCAATTTATTGGGACGAAACCGAAATTCGGAGTTGTCGAGCCCCCTGCTCGCGCAATCATCCCACCCACCCACCCGCAACTTAGTATACAAAACCAATGCGGCACCGATTGCGATAATTACGTGTTTGGCGTTTGCTGGCGCATCGCTGTGGCCGCGCTGGCGCGCACAAGCTCGCGCGCAGAGTTGCCAGCTAGTCTGGCGTGATTGACGCGGCAGCGGTGGCGCTGACCGCTGGGGAGTTCCCAGCAGTTTTCGCAAGCCGCGCAGACGCGCCGGACACTTCAGTGCGAGTCGCTGATTCGGGCGGGCGCAGTATCATGGTGACGCCGACAATATGAGAAGCTGGTGAAAGTAGCGGTGATGGTGGCGATGACGACGATGACGACGGTGCGGCCAATGACGGCGCCGACGTTGGTCTCGCCGATGACGATGATGATGATGTCCACGCGCTTGTGATGAAGGTTTCAAACGATTTCCACGTGGCGCGCGCGCTTTGAAAAAGCATGGCATTGTTTGGCAAGGATCGTGCTCCCCGCTTCCCCGGAAACGCTCAAGGGCGTTCAATTGATTTCCGCACGCGCGAGCGGGAGGCCTGGATGATTTCAGTTGACGAGCGCGTTGCCAAGCCAACGGGTTTCCCAACAAAGAACCCAAGGGCGCGCCCTCTTTGAATCAGCATGTTGCAAAACCAGTGGTGTAATCTGTGTTCGGGAATTCCGGTGTTGAGACCCGAACGAACCCAAATGTTTGTGAGGGGTTCTGGCTTGCGCGCCCGACGCCGCGCGCGGGTGGGTTGTGTGTTGATCTATACGTACACACATCAATATGTATACGCATACTCACATATTGATATGTCGCCCAGCTGTGTTTGAAACAAATGGTTGGTTGTTCAGAACCGAACGCGCACGCAAAGCATGGTTGTGGTGGGATGAAACAAGTAAATCAACAAATGGGATGGTTCGGTTTCATATTTAAAATGAGCGGTGGGGCAGATCGGATGGACACAGTATCACCCCAGGGGAAACGACAAAGTCTGGGGAGGCGGTGGTGGATCGCAGATGCACGTTGGAAAAAACAGGTATGCGGTTCAATCTTCAGTGTGCAATTTCGGTGACGACGTGGCGGCGACGGCGACAGCATCTCCGCCAGACCGACACTCAGGTCCAGACGACGGGGGCGGCGACGGGGTGGCGACGGCGACAACATCGCCGCCAGACCAACGACACACCTCACACTGCGGGTGGCGATGAGGCGGCGACGAGGCGGCGACGGCGACAACATAGCCGCCTGATCGACAACCCCCCACATTCTTTTGAAGAGAAGCTTCGATCCCCTAAGTGCAAACACTGGGTGGGGAACGGCGCGGCGTGCAATTTACGGCATTGTTTCTTACTGCACGTTCGTTTTTCTGCAACAATTCCGTCTTCAATGTGATGCCGTCGCGGGGGCGGGGAACATTGTGGCCACGGCAGTGCGCGCGGCGAACAAGAGCAGTGATCTGTTTGGGCCAAAGTGGACAGGGGTGGCACAGAATTGTTTGGTGATTGAACAGTGTGGAGATGACCAGAAGTTGCACGCGCGCGCGCAGCCAGCAACCAATGCGCCGTTTGTGTGACGCCATTAGGGGCGTGCTCTGCGCAAGGGTGCGGGCCAAGCCATCATTCCCCAAACGAGCTCCGAATTGTTTTTTGAAGGGGGAGGGTTCCGACTTCACTGGCTGTATGTTGCTGGTCCCGCCAACTGTCGAGGAGCGGCTGCTTTACCTGCACCAGCGCAACGAGGCCATCGCCGCGTCCAAGGCAGGGAGAACGGTGAAGCATCCACCATACCAAGATGTACGCTCGGGTTCTCTGGATTAGCATGTCGCGGCACCCGTCCTGGCCCCCCCACGCTTCGGCGCGTCATGCCAACCGCGTCCCAGGCGTGAACGTCCCGATGTTTGCCCCAGCCTCCCGCACAACGGAGCGGAGCGACACGCTTCTGCTTGCAATGCATAGCGCGTCGCCGGGTCCGACGCCACGACACGCTGCGCAAAAGATCCTGCCCGTGTGTGTTCACGTGTTTTTCCATCTTCGTTTATCTCGGCTCCTGGCCAGGCTGGGAGGCCACATCCCCCAAGAAGCTTGGGCCCAACGTGATTCTGCGGAGGTCTGGTCGTGTTGGGCGTTTTCTCCCTCCTCCGGCGAGGGGGGCAAGATGACCTTCGCGCAGGAGGAGCACCTGCTGCAGCTCTGCAGCCACTACTCCCCCAACGGCGAGGTCGGCGACGGCGACGGGCACGGGGCCACCACAGCGGTTGTAAAGAGGCCGGGGGGGTAACGGGGAGGGGGCGGGGGCGGTGAGACGGGGTCGGAGTAGAAACATTGGACCACGCTTGTCGCAGAGCCCTGCATCCAGCCCGCGTTATCCTGTTGCGCTGCAGCCCCTTCAGGCTTGGGCGTCGTAGAACAAGAAAGCAGGACGGGCGTTTCTGCCCCGCTTCGTGCCCGAAGACGCTCGCGGCGCCCGAACTGGCCCTGGAAGAGGTCGGGAGAAGAATTGGCGCGAGCGCCGGGGCCGTCGTTGTTGAGGTGTTGAGATGTTGTTGAGATGCTTCACGGCGTCAGATCTCGTGGGAAGTTGCCCGCCTTCCAAGATGTAGGGGATGGGGGACAAGCGGAGGCGGTGGGCACTGGTCCACGGTTCCCGCCGACGTGAATTTCGCGCTCTGCTTCTGTTGATTGCCCCCACACTGCTGGCCCGTTTTGGTCGCGCGGGTCGCGTTCAAATTGTCCAGTGGCTCGGCAACGGCCGCCAGATGCCGAAATTGCTTTCTCAATTAATACGTACGTACGTACGTACGCATGTGTGTATGTAGGTATGTATGTATGTATGTTATGTCTGTGCGCATGTATGTGTACAAATATGTATACATGTGTACCTCTATACGAAACAGAGCTAGTTGATTATGGCCCGCAGCGTCCATAATCAGTCGGGCGGCGGTGCTCCCCGTTGTTCTCCGTGTTCCACTGTGCAGTAATACGAGTAGCGATTCTTATGAGGGCCAGTTGTCGTAGTAGTGCTAGCTAAAGTAGAGTAGTTCGTGTGGTGTTCCCACGATGTTTAGTGGGTTGGTTTCTGTCCACCCGCGTCGCACCCGGGTTTCTCCTCACCCCTGCTCATCGTTCCCGCTCGTACACTCATCAGACATCCGACTTTACATCAGACATGAACGCACCTACAGCCGCACACACAATACACAGTGTGCCCCACGTGCTTAGTAGGATATGGTTTCTTCCTTCCCGCGTCGCAGCCGCATCTCACCTCACACGCCTCCCCCCTCTCATCCTCTTTCTCCGTCTGTTGCAGGGTGAGGCCTGTCACTTGACGAGGAGGGCCTGTCCGACGAGGAGATGGCTCGGAGAAGGGGGGACCTTCAACCCGATATGGCTGCTAAGGTGGGTCACCGCCTGCACCCCAGGGCCATTGATGAGCAGGAGGAGGCCCCGGAAGAGGTTCTCCTGCTTGCCAGTGCTGTTTGCAAGCTCGATGTTGCGTGTGTGCGTTTAAGTGGCAGAGGTTAAATCTCTCGGTGGTGCCTTTCGAAGCACCTGCCCGTCGGCCTAAGGCGAAGCGCTCTGGCAGACCCCAGCAGTCGTCGGAGTTGTCTGGCCGTTGGCGTTGCTCGTCCTCTTTCAAGGCCTTTCGGTCTCAGTTCCGCCCGCCCCTCCCTGGCTGTCTTGGGAATACTGAGGGTTGGGGTTTCAGTGTGATGGGGCGTTCGTGGCATTTCGTTGTAGGTCTCCCGCGCACGGATAGAATTTTGTTCCACATGCACCCACTGTGCTACGTATTGCGGGGTAGGCTCGCTTAAGAAGTCCAACCTCTCAAGCCTCTGTGGTTTAAAGGAGCGCCCTCAGAGGAAGTTCATGTGGAACGCGTGGGTTCTCAAGGGCCCCCACCCGAACTTTTACAATCCAGTCTTGCTGGTGGCAAGTGTTCATGTTGAAGAAACCACGCCGGCGGGGCTGAGACCTACACCCTGAAGGTAGACGGGGTCAAGCTCGATTCGGTTCACCACTGCAAGAAGCGAGCCAAGTGGTGTGGCAAGTGGATCTGGCAATGCCAGCCGACGTGCGTCTCATGACACTCGAACTACCCGATGAGTTGTCTGCGGGGACCGAAGCTCATCGGTCGCACAATGAGATTTTATCCGCGAGACGCTCCAGGGCTGCTGCATGACGCCAGGCGCTGCGAGTCAGGCGGCCGCCGCTCGCAGCGCGCAGTGGCGGTATTGGAACCGAGCAACATCTGCATGGCTGCAGACAGGCGCGATGATGATGGCATAACCATGCTCCACAAAAGCCCGGTCCTGAATGTTCCTTCATTATTCTGGCGGAAAGCGCTTGAGCATTCTGGCCCCGCCGCGCTGGCAACTGGTTGTACTTAATGGACGCAGCGCCGTTGCCCAGCAAACATTTTCATCCGCAGCGCCTTTTGAGAATGAGCATCTCCGAAGTGATCGTCGTCATTGTCGCGGGCACAAGTTGGATTAGTACCGCCGTTCGCAGACGGAGCGCCAGTGGCAGAACTCGCCATCACCTGCACAAGCAAAAGCATAAGCACAAGCGCATACAGCATTGTCAATATGAGAACCAGTGTTACGACAAGGACCATCATCACCATGAGCGCGAGCTGTAAAGCAACAGTCCAACGCCAGCACCACCACCGACAAAACGAACACAACCAGTAGGTATATCTTAGGAGGGCTCGCATACATATATATATATATATATACACACCTATATGTGTATATGCGTATTCTATGCAAACATATGTATGTGCATGCCACAGTTCATACTATGTTATGTTGTGTATATATGCATACATATATATATATATAGACGTGTATACAAACATGTACATACCTCTTCTTCTCTCTATATGATTACCGTGGGGGGACATCAAACAACAATTATGACCCCCCCCCGGATCCATGACCCTGGTGTGGTGAGCCTGGACGCCCTTGAGCAAGGTCCTCCGAGCTTCCCGGGTCTCTTGGGAACCTTCGGTGGGCTCAGGCAACGGGCCCACCTCGGTCAGGATGGCGACCGAACAGCCCTGCGAAAGCCTGAAAAGGCTTCAGACATCCACCAGGACCCAAGACGATCCCAAAGAAGCCTTTAAAACGCAGAAACATAATGATGTACCCTTTTTTATAGAATGATTTGGAAGCTGCTTTGTTCTTCGGTCTTCCAGGCGCCCGAGACTGCCCATCCCGAAACTGGCCCAGGAGAGCCCCACGACGGCCGAACAGGGTCCCAAGGCCCGAAGAGAGCTCCATGACGGCCCAAGGTGGTCCCAAAACGCCCCCCGAAGCATTCCAAATCGCGACCCAGTCGTCGAGAACGACTGCGAATGGAAGCACGGTGGCCAGAGGAAGCTTCGCGAAACCCCCAAAAAGGAGCCCAGGAGGCTTCCAACACGCCTCAAGAAACCCTGAATAACAAATCGTGAGGCCCCCAAGAGGCTCTCCAAGGAGGAGCCTCCGAAAAAAAAACCCAGGAGGATGGGGACGAATTCGAAGGGTAGAACGAGAGTGAAGAAGAGAAAGCGGAAGCATGAAGAAAGGATGATGCATACAATTCTTATTCACATTGTGCCATAAAAGAAACAGCAATTGATTATCGTGAGTTCATTTGGTTCACGTTCCTGCCCTTCCGCTTACATGCAAGACATCATGGACCAATGTGCATAGCGAGAAGTGCCGATGCAGTCTTGTATATAGATGTGTATATATAAATGTATATATATATATATATATATATATATATATATTATTCACATATTCACTTATACGACCACCCTTCGGGTGATAAGGAGGTTGTTTTTTGGGGGGGAGAGGGGGGGAACCAACATCTGACCCAATCGACCTCACTTTCGATCTCACTCAACGGGACACCACGGGGCACTTGTCGATTTCACGATCAATCTCACTCAACGAGACACCACGGGACACCACGGGACACCGCGGGACACCTCTGGATCTCATTATCGGTCTCATTATCGATCTCACTATCGATCTCACTCAGCGGGACACCATAGGACGCCACGGGACACTTCGGGACACCACATCGATCTCACTATCGATCTGAATCTCGGCATCATTATCGATCTCGATCAACGGGACACCGCGGGGCACCACGGGACACCTGTCGATCTCACGATCGATCTCACAATCGTTCTCACTTTTTGGGACACCACGGGACACCTCGGGGCGCCACATCGATCTCAGTACCGATCGCACTAACGATTTCATTATCGATCCCACTCAACGGGACACCACGGGAAACCACGGGACACCTGTCGATCTCATTATCGATCTCACTATCGATTTCATTTTTCGGGACACCACGGGACACCTCGGGACACCGCGGGACACCGCTAGGGCCACCGCCGGACGGACGGACGGACGGACGAAGGAGAAACATGTGTCTGGACTTCGCCCTAACAACGGCGGACACCACGGGACACGTCGGGACACCTCGGGACACCACGGGACTCCGCCAGGGCCACCGCTGGACGGACGGACGGACGGACGGTGCAGAAGCATTTGTTGCGAGTTCGCCTTAGCAAGGGCGGGTTCATTCCTCTCGCGCGCCCACGCATCTTCTCCTCGCCCGCACGCGCGACACGAACGAAACGAAACGATTTCCTGGTTGGGGGTCCCCGTTCAACTGTGATTTCACCCCCAACCATCGATGTATACACGCACGTAGATTTGATTGTGTATAGCTAAACAGATGTGTTCCAGATGTTGCTGATCGATTATTTGTAGGATTATCTACCTATACGACCGCCCTGCGGGCGATAAGGAGGTGGAGGTTGGGGGGGATTTAGATTAAATGCCCACCCCGACTGACCTCCAACCTGTCACCTTGATCTCATCTCTCTCTTTCTCTCTCTCTCTCTCTCTCTCCTTCTGTCTCTCTCTCCCCCCCTCCCGCTCTATCAGAGTCTCCCTCCACCACAACGATGATCGCGATGACGATGAGGTCCCACTATCTACCTATCCGTCGACCGACAAACGCGCAGAGCCTCACAGTCTGCCGCGATCGCGCCCAGGGACAAGGTGGGACAAGATGGGACAAGATGGGTTGGATAAGATAAGATGGATTGGATTGGACAAGATGGATTGACTAAGGAAAGCTGGATTGGATAAGAAAGCCCGCCGCAGGCGCCGACAAAAGTGAATTGATGGATTGGGTTGGGTGGATTGGATTGGATGGGATAGGATGTATTGCATAAGATAAGATGGATTGGATTGAAAGAGATGGATTTGATAAGATTAAATTAGCTGGATCGGCCCGACGCAGGAGAAGCAACAAATGAATTGATGGATTGGGTTGGGTGGGTTGGATTGGGTGGGATAAGATCAGATGGGACAATATGGTTTGATATGATCTGCTGAATTGCATAAGAAAGCCCTCCGCAGGGGCCGAAAAAATTGAATTATGAAATCAGCGGCATGCTTTAGCGCTGGGACGCCCAGGACACCCGGGACACCCGGGACACCGCCCGGCCCACTGGGACACTGCCCGGCCACCGGCGGACGCGAAACGGACTTTCGTTCCTATTTCGGCCTAGCTACAGGAGGGTCACGCGCAGCTTGGTCTCGCACGCACGACACGAACACGAAACCGAAACCGATGTCCTGGTTGTGGGTCTCTGTTTCACGGCGATCTCACCTCCCGTTTTCCGATATATGTACATGAACATGCGCATATGCATTTTTCTTATATGTATGTACACATGGACTTGTGTGTGCGCTTGCATGTGTGCCATTACCTATACGACCGCCCTGCGGGCGATAAGGAGGTTGGGGGAATTGAAATCAAATGCCCACCCTGTTTGACCGCCAGCTTGTCACCTTGATGTCATCTCTCTTTTTTTCTCTGTCCCTCTCTCTCTCTGTCCCTCTCTCTCTCTCGTCCTCTGTCTCTCTCTCCCTCTTTCTCTTCTCCTCTCTATCAGAGTCTCCCTCCACCACAACGATGATCGCGATGACGATGGTATCCCACTATTTACCTATCCGTCGACCGACAAACGCGCAGAGCTTCGCAGTCTGCCGCAGCCGCGCCCAGGCGCCGACAAAAATGAACTGATGGATTGGATTGGGTGGCTTGGATTGGATGGGACGAGATGGATTGGATAAGCTAAGATGGGTTCGATTGGAAGCTATGGATTGGATATGATAAGATGGATTGGATTGGCCCGCCGCAGGCGCAGAAACACATGACATGATGGATTGGTTTTGACGGATTGGACTGGGTGGAAAAGATAAGGTAGGACAAGCTGGGTTGGATAAGATAAGATGGATTGGATTGGACACGATGGATTGGATAAGATAAGCTGGGTTGGATAAGAAAACCCGCCGCAGGCGCCGACAAAAGTGAATTGATGGATTGGGTTGGGTGGATGGGATTGATTGGGATAAGATGGGTTGGATCAGACAAGATGGGTCGGAATAGAGGAAGTGGATTGGATAAGATACGATGGATTGGATTGGCCCGTCGCAGGCGCAGAAACAACTTAATTGATGGATTGGGTTGGGTGTGTTGGATTGGGTGGGCTATGATACGATGGGACACGATTGCTTGGATAAGATCAGATGGATTGGATTGGACACGATGGTTTGGATGATATAAGCTGGATTGGATAAGCAAACCCACCGCAGGCGCCGAAAAACAAGGAATTATGAAATTAGCGACATTTGTTAGCGCCGGGGCGCCCGGGACACCCGGGACACCCGTGACACCGCCCAGCCCAAGTGGGACACCTCCCTTTTTTTCTCTCCCCCTCTCTCTCTCTCTTTCTCTCTTTCGCTCCCTTCTCTCTCTTTTTTTTTTGTTTTCGAAATGTGGTTATATGTCTCTTGCCCTATCTCTCTCTCTCTCTTTTTCTTTCCGCCTCCCTCTGTCTTGTTTTTTTTGTTTCTCTCTCTCTCTCTCTCTCCCACTCTCTCTCTCTTTCTCGTTCCTCCCTTCCGTCTCCCTCTCACCCCCTCTGTCTTTCTCTTTCTCTTTCTTTTCCATACATATAAATATATATAGATGCGTATGTATCCTCCTCTCTTCCTCTGTCTCT